CACAATGCACAGCGGAGCTGTGGGGTTAGGTGGTGGGCAGCAGAGGGCAGTGCAATAAAATGTATTATTGTACTGTACTTCTATGTTCCCAAATCTATGCTCCCCGCCTTCACCAACACGCACTGACCGGTGTGGTCAGGTATGGTCATGAGGGCCTGTACGGAGTGTGGATGCCCTCATCCAGCAGTGAATTGACATAAATGGCTGTGCGTGTTTGTATAGCGCGTGTGTGTGTGTATGCACCTGTAATTCAAAGACTTGGGGAAAGGGTTCGTGGACAATGCAAAGATGCATACATCACAATCTTGCGATATCTACTGTCTGGGAAAACTGGTGCCTGGCAGAGGTAATGCAGCAAGTCGGTGTTTTCAATTATGCTTGTGGAGGTTGTGTGTTTCTCCCCGATATGCAGTGGTTATCTCTGGGCATACCATTGTAATTCCATAGATGGAACAATTTTTCAAATAAATAAATGTATATCACATAAATAAGGTGACTTATCAAGAAATATTTGACACTAGGTGGGGTTTTTTTCTGGCTTCAATTTTATTTAAAGTGAGAACTAAAAAAGACCAGGGTGAGTCTCATTCGCAAGAGTGACTCGCAGGGTTGCGATTTCCGCATGGAAAATGCGGAAGGAGGGTTCAAATTTTCCCGCATTTTTGCTAAAGTCAACCGCAAACGGTGGAAAGACTACTCCTATGACCGCGCGCTTTTAACAACACGTTAATGCGTTCTATTGGAAAGGATACATCATGTACATGTGCTCGTAATCACGGCTCCGCATTTGAATAAAGTATGTGGTTCTTGTGCGGAAATGCGGAAATCATATATTCATTCCAATCAGTAACTCAAAGCCCTACGTGATGCTGGGCCTTGCATGTATCCTTTCCAATAGAACGCATTAACGTGTTGTTAAAAGCGCGCGGTCATAGGAGTAGTCTTTCCACCGTTTGCGGTTGACTTTAGCAAAAATGCGGGAAAATTTGAACCCTCCTTCCGCATTTTCCATGCGGAAATCGCAACCCTGGTGACTCGGGGGCATTGTCAAGCCTTCCAATAGGGGACAACGGTTGCTCCAGTGTGTATGTGCCCAATTGAATAATTTTCTCATTTGCCAAATTGTGGACCCTGACGCCGATACGCGATGGCCTCCTCTTGCGAATGACCCCACGCGATTCTCTGACATCCATTGTAAAGTAGGTGGCGTGGATGATTTTTATACGTAGAAAGTTTTTTTTACAAAACACGTGCAGCAATAAGCAGGGCGGATGCCAAATTCGAAACGTGAACCCCCGCAACGTGCCACCGCTAGGCCGCGTCACCGCCACTCATATATGCACCGTGTTTAATACGGAGAAAGTTACGTCGACATTATTAATAGTAACCAACTGAGTTATGTCATTACTATTACACGTGTGCATGCTGCTGGAAGGTACGCCGCAGGATGATCAGCGGACTAACAATATCCCTACCGCTGCAAAGCACGGTGATTTACTCGGGGGAAACGGTCCCGGTTTGAGATTTCATTTCGGCTTGATTAGCGGTGTCTACAGCACAATAATTCGTCTAAATATATAAATCACGGGGGCTCTGAGGGTTACTAAATAAGGCCATCGAGCCAGGAACTGGGGGCCCGAGTTTTAAATGGCAACAGCTAACACCGGTCCGTCCGTGTTTAGAACGCAGTCGCAGCCAACCGTCCGGCTCGGTCTGTTCAACCGAGTTTTGTTCCGTGTCATCGGGCTGCTCATAAAGTATCACCTCGCTTCCATAAAACTGTAATACAAAGTAGCTTCTGAGGAGTTACAGGGTGAAGGGAGTGTGTAAAAGGTTTGTTTTTGTAATTGACCTTGTAAATACCATCCTCTGACCTAGTTCAGAAGTCAGCCGCCTTGAGAAAACACAAGTATGTGACCCTGATGCTCAGACCCAGGGGGATGAAGTGATTGAGTGTCGGCACATGGGACGGGCTGGCGGCACGTCTACAAAGCTCACGCTTCTGCGACCGATAAAAACCACGCGATGCCCTTTAGAGAGAACCGCAGACGCGCGGCAGCCTCTCGAAGCCGGTTGCCCGCGTCCGCCGACGGTAGTTGCACGCGATTGCAATCGACGGCGGCGTGGGCCATGCACACGCGCAACGGTTTGCGAGTGTCTATTGCTGCCGGGCCGGCCTCCGATGCAGCGGTGGGTCCCAGCACCGCGTGGAGGCTTTGTAATTGTAATTGATGGCACTGTCAGCGAGGTCTGGTGGTCTGGGTGCTAACGGGCGCTCGGATTAGCCGCGGGCATTCTTTGCATGCATGGTCAAGCGTCTGAATTGTGGAAGCTTGAGCCAAGACTGCAGCAAAGCAGGGTTTAGTCATTATTACCATATTAATGATTCGGATCTTTGTGCAAACTGTGAAGATGGTCATTAGTATAATACGGTACTTTTCGCAAATTCAGTTTAATATGCTAGATTCCTAGACATTTCAAATCCAGCCAAAGGGAGACTGGATGCGAGTTCTAATGCAGTAGAGTAGAGGACATTTTGACACTCCGGTATGAAGAGAAAACTATCTGGGTGTCCTGATGCTTCTGCTGCTGCATTGGCAGCGGTGCACTAAGCACAAACATCAGCAACAAAAATGCAACACGTTCCTCAACAACACTTTGGCCTTTAAAGGGAAAAACAAATGACGGGGCGACGTTTCGGGCGTTGCGCTTCGAAGAAGGGCCGTTGCCCGAAACGTCACCTGGTATATATTGTATTTATTTATTTTCCTTCTCAGGCCCCGCAATGTTATTGACGCACGCATGGAGCCCTGCAGGGTGACGGGGAGGGCAGGGGGGTGGTTGATGCGCCTACTTGCGGGTATTAAGGGGCGGGGGAAGCGCAGCGATGCGTGAGGCCACCGCTTGTCGATGCCGTGCACGACCCGCGGCGCCTTGGGCGGCCGTTGCGTCACGGGGAGGGGATCGCGGCCGTCCGCGCGAGCGCCATTCTGCGGCTGCTCGCTTGCGCATTATTTTTTTGGGGGGGTGGCGGGGGGGGCATCTCCTAGCCGTCAAATCGCAAAGCGGAGCCGGGTGTGCGATCCGGTGCCTGGAAAGCAATCGAGGTTAAATCAAAATAGACCACGCTTGTACTTGGAACAATTTAGTGTTTTTGTGATGCTGCACAAATATCAAACACTCAACATCTCTGCTATAATGATGATGATTGGCCATGCCCTAAGACGTCACCTGTTATTGTTTATTTAGTTTTGGGCAGTGTTATTGATGAATGCGTTGAGTTTTTGTTACTTGTACTTTGTGGTTTTTTCGCCGGATGTTATGTTGTTGAATGTCATTGTTTTCAACGTTTCCCATGACAACAGCGTCCTGTGCGGCTTTGCTTTTTCTACAATTTGTGCCAATGTTTTACATTACAGCAGCACCGTGTTACGAACCAAATTGGCATTAATAGTTGTCCACTGTATCAATTGCAAGGACATGTTCTTTGCAAGCATCGCATTTTATTTTGCAAGAGGATATGCGGCTTGAGGCGTGGAGATAAGAAGAAGTCTCTAATCTCAGTCTCCGTTATCTGAACATCAATGCAGGGAAGAAAGCACGCTGGATCGTGATGGCCATTCCTTTCATGGCAATTCTTTTTAAGCTTTATCACGTAAACAGAACGTGCCAATTCGTTGCTAGTACAGCACACCGGTGTGTTTGAGATTAAATCCACAACATTTACAATCTGAATACTCAGATTGTAAATGCCGTGGATTTACTCTCCAACTAATTGGCTGTGTCGGGTGGTGGCGGCTTTAATGACACTTATATTTTTACGTGATCTAATCCAAAAAAACTATATTATGGATGATAATGGTCGCGAAAGCCTATGTGTTAAACTATACTCTTTGCTTCTTTCAGTAAAGTCAGGTAGGTAGAAAAAATAATAGACCACGACGTTTCGATCGCAACACAAGCAATCGTCTTCAGGTAAAAAACATGGGTAAAATCTGCTGAGGCAGGCTGTTTATGAAGGTTTAGAAATGGGCGGGGCAGCTAATGTTAAATGCAAGCTCGGCCCTTGCCGATTGCTTGTGTTGCGATCAAAACGTCGTGAGCTGTTATTTTTTTCTACCTACGTGACTTTACAGAAAGAACCAAAGAGTATGGATTCCTGCAGTCACGGAAACTTCCAATCAAGATGATGTGTTAAACTGTTTGAAGCTTGATTCATGATTTACAACTAAACGTATTATTTGACATGTTACATACTATATCGGTGTTTAATTTTGTAGTAAGTATGCTGGTTTACCACGCATCCTTTGTGCATAAGTGTATCGTTTTTTTTCATGGAGGCATTGAGTGGAGGCATTGAGTGCTTGGAGTGGAGCGGTGGCGCAGTGGTTATCACACTACGCTATAAACCTGGTCTCCCTGAGTTTGATTCCTAGCCATGGCTGACAACCAGTAAGCAAGCAGTGTTGGACAGCCCCTACACCAAGCTTTACTCACCAGCCTGGTGAAGTATGGTCAATCAACCTCCATGACTGACATTGTTGTGGAGATACATTCATCCAGCAGTGGAGTGATACAGTTCCGTGCATTAATGAGTCTTGTTCTTGGCTTCGGAAGAGAGGAAGATGGGAGCGTGAGGGGACAATCTCGTATGCACGTACTTACTGATGTTGAAATGTGTCCCTGTTGGGGGGCAGTGGTTAACACACTGCGCTATGAACCCAGCGACCTGAGCTCGAATCCCGCTTAGGGACCAATAACGGTGGTGATTATTTGAACCGGTTCTCAGCCTCCCCTACGTCGACTCAGCCTTTAACGAGTACTTGGCGCAGCGGGGAAAATATCAGCACTGGAGAGACAATGGTGGCTGGGCGTGGTGTTGGCCATCGACCCCCTCGTGTGCCACGCCAGGCCCTCATAGATACTCACTGACAGTACTTGCCCTTAGAGTCCGTGAAAGGCTATACGGGGGAATCATTATCTTTGTCCTGTCCCTGCAGGTGGATGAGATTTACCACGACGAGTCCCTTGGCGTTCAGATCAACGTGGTCCTCGTGAGGCTCATCCTGCTCGGATACAGACAGGTTCGTGAGGGACTCTCCCATCGCTGGGACACGCTGGGACGGGGTGCAACACGAGGGGAGTACGGGCAGGATTGTGAAATCATCAAACCACAACCACCACCACCATCATCACCACCACCACCAACCTGATGGCTTTGGGGCCAAGTCGCTTGTAAAAGCAGTGGCCAATTACTGCAAGGCAAATCCGTTCTTTTTTGTGTAGGTCACCAAGTCTTCTGCCTCCAGTGTAAATACCCCATGCGCATTTTACCGTGCCAACTGGCCTGTTAAGCAAACATAATTTTTAAGTTAACAGTGGCCGGGAGAGTGAAGCCAAATATAACTGCCGGTGCAACGTTTACACAATTTGGATTCCATGTGAGTAGCATTACAAAGATGTTTCCGCACTCAAGGCAGTTTGAATCTGAGGGCAACACACCACCCTGCGCGCTGATTGGAGTGTTGTAGCACTCGCAAATTCGCCATGACCCGCGTGGCCCATTACGGCATGTCAGTCCAAATAAAATGCCATACTCCGCTCTCCTCTTACTTATCATGGCCACACAGGCTGCGGACAATTTTCGAATCCCACAGCAGCTGCACTGTGTTTCCTCCCCCCTCCAATGCACTGGTGCGATTCAAATTGCCCCAACTATATTTGAATATTAATGATAATGCCTTGGGGTTTTTTTTTCTTCATTATCCACAGAAGCCTCACTGATTCCCAAGAATCTCTTTCAGGAGGGTCTTGTGTTGGTATGATTCGCTAGTTCCACGCGTAAGTGTTTTGCATGTGGAAGCAAAATGGAAAACCTGGAGAACCCCCCTCCCCCTCCTTCTCCACCCTTATGAGGAGGATATCGCTCGTAGCTCTGCACAGATGTATTTAATAATCTATTGACTGTATGGCCATCCCCCTGGCCACGATCCAGCTCAGTAGTTTTATCGTGTGTGTGCGAGCCACCAATTCTGGCTTCCAAAAGTGCTGAATAACAGGAGAGCTCCACCGCGCTCACACGAACCGTGGTAGATGTCACACACGCACGTCATCTCACACTCGCCGAGGCCACTTAAGGTGATGGTATCATCTTTGAAGGTGTTATCTTTTATTATTTACATTTACGCTTATTTGACCCAGTAAATCCTTACTGAGTCAGGACTCTTATTCAGGAGGGTCCTGCCAAGTTGTCGCGGGAAGGAGGCGATGTTGCTTTGTTTGATCCTAATCGAGTGCCGAGTCGTTCTATGTGTCAATAATAAAGCACCCAGACTTCTCATTCTTTGCCATGGCTAAAAGCACATATAAGCAGTTATGAGCTTTCACGTGTAAATAAAACAACATATCTTATGTCGCTTCATGCATTGAATAGACTCGCATAGATTGCATGGAGTGCTCGTGCCAATAACATGGCAATCCAGCAGCATCTTATTTAACAATCTGAGGAGACCCAGAAGGTGGATACCAGGCCAGAGTTTGCTTGCTTAGACAAATGCTGCGTCCGTGTGCGAAGCCGGTTAGCAGTTGTATTCCCGCTCACGGCCAGAGGCTATATGGGGGGTGTTTGTCTCGTGCGTGTTTGGTGCGTGCAGTATGGGGAGCGGCAGTGCACAATGCACTCAGAACCCGGCCGCCCGAGTTTGATTCCCACTCACGGCCAACACCAGTTCAGTATATGTGAATCGATCCTGGGCCTCCCCTAGGTCGTCTCGGCCTCCAGTGAGTAACTGGTGCGATGTCTAAGCATCAGCACTGGATGATACAAAGGCGGCCGGGCATAGTACTGGCCACCCACCCCCTCGTGTGCCGTGCCGGCCTTCATAGGCACCGCCCGCGAACAGCACTCGCCCCAACAGTCTTGTCATGACGATATGGGGGGGGGGCGTGGGTGGGGAATCTTTGTTTTCGTCTTTGATGCGTGCAGTCCATCGGTCTGATCGAGCGGGGGAACCCGTCGCGCAGCCTCGAGCAGGTGTGCCGCTGGGCCCACACGCAGCAGCGCACCGACCCCGCCCACCCGGAGCACCACGACCACGTCGTCTTCCTCACGCGCCAGGACTTTGGGCCGGCCGGCATGCAAGGTGCGCCGGCGGGCGACGCGGCACATCGGGCATGGAGGGGCAGGGGGGGTGTGACCCGTCGGGCGCACGCACTTTCCCTGTGCATAACAAGCGTGTAGCCTACGCAGTCCCTGAGGGGCAAGGACAGTTAGAGGGCAAGCATAAAGGATGGGCCGGCATGGCGCGCGAGAGGGTGGTGTGGCCAGTGCCACGCCAAAGCCGCCTTTGTCTCCCCAATGGTGATGTTTACACACCGCACCAGGCACTCATTTGAGTAGGCTGAGCGACCTAGTAGAGACCCAGGACCGGTTCAGATAATCGTCGCCGATGTTACCCGTGAGCGGGAATCGAACTCGGGTCGCTGAGTTTTGTAGCGCAGCGCAATAACCGCTACACTACCACTCCCCACATTCACACGCATACACACATGTACACACGCATGTACATGCGCATGCTTGTATAAGAGCATGCACATTAGCAATTTGCCCCACATTAGAAGGAAAATGAATCCATTGCAGAAAATACTATCCTGGAGCACTTCATGGCATTTATGGAATTAGGCCGGACATTTTTGGACCCTCACTAGGAAGACCACCCAGGCGATTGCTTATTTATTTACAAAACGGTCTCATTTGTAGAGAGCCCATTAGTTGGTGGTTCAGGCAAAAGTGATTTCAGCGGCATACTTGCAGCACGCACTCACGCATGCACGCATGCACTCACTCACGCACACATGCATTCACACACTCACGCACGCACTCACTAAAAACGAAACTTTTTTTTACCAGGTAAGGGCCACTGAGTTATATAGCTCTTTTTCAGAAGCGACCTGGCCACAAATGATAGCTCAACAAAGTGGCTTAATGTGGAAATTTATAACAGCCAAATACTCTAAATGCACATTCATTCTAAATGTGGAGGGAAAACCCGGAGGACCCAGAGAAAAACCCATGCAACCACGGGGAGAGAGACAAGCAAACTCCAAACGTACAGCGGGCGTCAGGGTCGCGATCAAACCCACGACCTGCTGCAGTTAACATCTCGCCACCGCGTTCCCACCGATCCCGGCTCATGTCACGGTCACCGGGTGGTCGCTGTGCTCCGTGCAGGCTACGCGCCCGTGACGGGCATGTGTCACCCGCTTCGGAGCTGCACCCTGAACCACGAGGACGGCTTCTCGTCCGCCTTCGTGCTGGCCCACGAGACTGGCCACGTGTGAGTATCCGCCCCATGACGAGCGCCCTCCCTTGGCGCCTACCGGCCACAGCGCCTCTCACTTCGATCATTTTTTGTTTTCACCCGTTATCGCCCCGGCTTTGGACAACGTCAACGTGGCATACACGAGTTGCAAAATAACAATCGACGATTGTAATTGAGTATTTGGCATTGTTGCGCAGTTTAGCGTGGAGCTATCACGAAAGCGCTCTGATTCACAGATGGACATCGTCAACCAGTAGGGGGCGATGTTGCTATGCGTAGTCCCAGTTGACCAATTTAAGGGTCATTTTTCAAATTTGGACCGTGATGCCAGCATATAATGGCCTACTCGTTTTTAATGACATCAGGGGATTCCTTAGCATTCACTGCGAAGCGGACGGAGGGTAAAAATGTGGTTAATACAGCCACAGTACTAACCAGGGTGGCCCACCGTGTTTGAACGACGAACCTCTGCAGAAAGCGGTGAACGCAAAATCAATGGGCCGCCTGACCATGCCGAAAACACTTTGCGCTGTTTTTATGAGTCGGTTGTACTTGCAGATTTTGTTCAGTTGGTTTAAGGTGCTGTCAAATAACGTGCCAATCGAGCTGCGGCGTGCTCAACCACCTCTCAAAGAGAGTGAATGATGCAATAAGTGCCATGTTGAGCCAAGCTGTGATGCAGTCCCAGCACACGGTGGCGGTTTAGCTGTGGCAAGCCACTGGCGTGAGACATGCCGGGACATAAAGGTGAAGAATGCCACAGCCCATTGACGCTCTCTGTACCACATCTCAGCATATATTTCCACAGAAGAATTAGATTTTGGAATAGCTTTAAATCTTGAATGTCTTGAAGTGCCATGCTTTAGATGAGAGTTCAGCCCCCGGTGAAATCTCCACGATGAGCACGAGTGTTCGTCTGTACCTGAAGCATTACTTGCCATCAGGTGCTAGTGGCTTTTTGTTATGTAGTGGCATTAACAGAGCTTTGAAGATCTCCTCCAGGTTAGGTTTAAAGCATTAATTGTGCAGCGTGGCCAGATTATGTGATAAATGCGATTTGTATAAAGGGCTTTTCAGTCTAAAATATTGATAGCCGTTCATGGACCTTGGATCAAGGGTTAAACCACCAGCTCTAATCACATATCCTCTTCCCCCAACCACCACCAACCACCGCCATCACTGCCACCACCAACAACCCAACACAACCACGACTACTATTGACTCGCCACCACAACTGCCAACGTTCCAATGCAACCACCACCACCCAACACCACCACTATCACCCCAACACTACCCCAACCATCACCACATCCACCACGCCAATCACCACCAACATATCAACCACCACGATGACCGACAACACCGCCACTGCTGCCACCACTACCCTAACCACCACCACTACCACCACCAATCCAACATCACCGACACCACCACCACCACCGGCACAGCCTGGGCATGGAGCACGACGGGCAGGGCAACCGCTGTGGGGACGAGACGAGCATGGGCAGCATCATGGCGCCCCTGGTGCGTGCCGCGTTCCACCGCTACCACTGGTCCCGGTGCAGCCGCCAAGAGCTCGCCAGATACATTCAGTAAGTCTCACCGCGCAACCTCGAGTGATGCCACAGGAATGCACGCCGGGGCTCGTAAAGTGGTGGTTTTGCGATGAGCTGAGTATTTCTGCTCGAGGAGTAAATAGGTCGTGTAGACCGGAACGCCATGTGCAGTAGGCAGGTGTACGCGAGTGTGTGTGCGTGTACGGACGTAACGCTGGCAAGCACGCGGTGTCGATGTCGTTATTGTGGCGGTGTGACGCAGCCCACGCTGACCAGCATGGTGAGGTACGGTCACATATTGCACGTGGATTAGAGGACATACGCACGTTGGAGACACCATCATTTTGAGTGGAAGCGAGATTGGCGAGAACACGTCATGACGAGGAGTGATGATGGCCAGTGGACACTGACAACTGAATGGTGGCAGCTCAAGGAGGGAAGGCGCCCGAGACCCCATTCACCACGGCAATGGAGCAATGAAATGAGCTCACGTGCAGGAGCTAGATGGTTGTATCACGAGACGGTTAGAGATGGGCAATGGCTTGGGGTGGCCTTCATCCAGCAGTGGATAGATCTTGGTATGGCATGTGATTAGTGGATGATCCCGCACCTCCAGTTAGCATGGTTGGCGACATACATACAAACATACACATACGACTTATGTTTGAGAATCAATTATTGCGCGCAGACTGAAACGCAGTATGCAATACCTTTTTGGAGTACAGGTGTGTATGTGTGCAAGTATGTATGTGTGTATGTGAGTCTGTCTAAATTACTTTCCCGAGCATATATACTGTGGTCACGTCAAACCGGGCTATACACTGGAAATGCAGCATTACCCTTCGAGTGTGTGCACAATGGCGGTGTTGTGAAACGCAAATGCGATGGCAATACCAATCGCTCGTTATTTTGCACACTGGCTTAATTGTGCCATTAGGGACTGTGGATTTCAGTGGCAGGGCTTCAAAGAGCTGGCAGGGCACAGAGGCACGAATTCTGGGACAACACGAGAGAAAATTTAATTGTGCGCCGGGCAGGCATGCAAAGCACATTTAGAAACGATTTCTGTAAATGTGCAAGTTATTATTGAACCACCAATACAAAACAAAAACGTTCCATGTGCAAATGGTTTGTGCATTAAAAACGAGGAAGAAAAAAAGTTGACCGCATTTTTTTTTTATTCCGCTTATACAGTAGTAGCTGCTGAGCATATTTTTCCCTTTAAATAATAGTACTGTATATGGCCAAGGTTTATAAAGCTAATGTTACCTGCGCAATCCTGCACACATTTATTCCTCCTGCCACATCTGTTAAGATTCGGCGTGCAGACCGCCTTGCGTCCTATATGCAAGTCAACGATTTATTTATCGCGTGAATCTTTGCTTTTTTAAATACCAAAACAACCGCTGTTAAAGAAAAGATCAACGGGCACGCTTTGCGATCGAAGACGACGACGACGGCTCACGTTGTTGTTCTCCCCGTCGTGTTCCCACACGCACCCACGCACGCAGCTCGTACGACTGTCTGCTGGACGATCCGTTCGACCACGGCTGGCCCAAGCTGCCCGAGCTGCCCGGCATCAACTACTCCATGGACGAGCAGTGCCGCTTTGACTTCGGCGTCGGATACAAGACGTGCAATGCCGTACGTGATCGTTGCCCCCCGCTGGCCCGCCGCTGCTCACGAACACCGCGGTTCGGTCTATCGGCCACTTCCAGCCGGTGACCCCAGGGGTGACGCTCTCCGTCAGAAACGCCGATAAAGGCCTCTAATCAATGCCCACGCAATTCGGAAATTATCCTGCAGGTTTTAATGCAGTATTAAATTTTCACCGTCTTCGAATTAATTACATTAAATAAATAAAAATCCCCCAGTTTTATTTCCACCGTAAATAAATATTTCACAATAATAATGCTATTTAGTTATGCAGGAAAACTTCACTGGGTGAATTGGAATGTTTGTGCCATTGCCATTAATGAGTGTCTGAGCGTGGGAGAGGCAACGGGAAGAGTGCCTTAAGAAAGGCGCACACATACAAGGGGATGGCACTCCAAGCTCCACAGAGATGAGATTATTCCAATAATTCACTGTTATTACTGCCACCTGGCCATATCGTAGCCCAATGGGTTTGGGACTTTCACAAATCCTCGTGGGCGAAAGGTGATGGTGAAAATCGCTCGCTCACGCAACCACCGGCGGAAGGGCTTCCTACTTGAGGGAGCTAGAGATAGGCCGTTTAGAAAGTATTTTGACCTCCATCTTCCACATTGGCCAGACGTCTGCGAAGACCCGGGGAGAGCTCCAATGCTCATCGCGGCAGCGTTGCGATCGTCTGCATTGAAATCACAAAATGATGACCATCATCATTACCGATCTCCGTGCCCTTGTTTTGTACCCGTGGCAGTTCCGCACGTTCGACCCGTGCAAGCAGCTGTGGTGCAGCCACCCCGACAACCCCTACTTCTGCAAGACGAAAAAGGGCCCTCCGCTGGACGGGACTGAGTGCGGGACCAGCAAGGTGCCCACTCGCGTGCCCCTCCTTCTCTCCCCGCACTCTCGTTTTTATTTTAAAGCGTGCGACGAAGGTTTTTCGTGGACACGCCGTGTGTAAGCTCTCCCCCGGTGTAGTTTCGGGTCGTGCCGCGTGCTGTTTCGGCACATTGTCAGCGATGACCAAGGACAAATCTGCTTTCAGTGGGTGATGATAGAACATCAGTAGTCAGGCACCCCGTTTGTCGAATGTCTTGCCCCCAGTTCGTTGAGCATGCTCGGTCAGTCGAGGTTTTTAAGGCTGGCCTGAAAATATGTATTTTCTCTTAGCTTTATCCGTCTATGTAGGATTGTTTTACTCTTAGTTTTAATGTGAAGGGTGTTTACTGGGATTGTGTTGTCAAGTGCCGTGAGGCCTTGCGTGAATTGCGCTATACATAAAACCACTTATTTAACCAACCAACTGAGGGAGAAAGTGAGCTTCTCAATTCCGTTTCTAGCACTTGTTGTGAAACGCCGAACCTCGTGCCACGGTAAAACCCGAAAACACATCACAGCGCGAGAGCTCAACTGCGGCAGCTTGCCTCTTTTGCGAGGGGTCTGAGTCACAGGGGACTGTTCAATACACGGGAGTACACGCATTTTGACAAACATTAATTGCGTTCATTAATATTATGATAGGCGTGTGAATGAATGAATGAATACATCAAATAAACGCATTGGCGGAACATCGGTGGTAAGCGGTATAGACAATTATTTTTTGCAGTATTTTTATTATTCCAGCAAACGCCGGTCAGAAAATCTTGCGTGGTCTGTCAAAATCAGTTCTGGTGATGTCGAAGCAATCAGAAGATGAACGTTACGAGCAGCTCAACAAGAAACTTCACAGTCTGTTGCTGTATAGCAGCACCCGCCATGATGATGATTGGCTGCTCCGTGTTCCAAAGGCAGATTTGGCTCCTCTTTCCAAAGACTTGATCGGATGATTCCTCGATTCAATGGACCCAAATCAAAGGCCAATGTTGACCTATTTTTTTTTTAAGTTTCAGGAGACTGAATAAACCTTCGAATCACGTCAAACTTCGCCACAGGGTCAATTAATGACTGATAAAATCTAAATGTCAGACTGTGATTCAAATTTAGATTTTAGACTGTTTCATGAGGACCGGTGTGTTATGCTGCATCGGTGTACCGCCAATACGTCCAAATGTGCATTTTTGAGCCAGTGAGAGCCTCGTTGGGGCGGAAAGTCTCTCTTGCTTTTTGTCAAACTTGTAAGAGACATCGAGCTCAAAATGGATCTGTCCAACCGATGTGGCGTCTTCTTGTGCACGGCTAAAATTAAGCGGGCAAGAGGCGCTGACTGCCACAGAAAGTAAAAAAGCTGCTAATATGGAAACGTGTGGAATTCTCAGGCAATGTCATCCGAAAACTCTCAAGTGTCATTCGAGAACGATGAACGGTGTAACAGCGTTCGCAGTGTGTTTAAAAATTACACGATCTAACACGTCCGTTGCTCCATTGTGGCACGTGAATGCTGGAACGGTCTTCGAGCTCATTATTTCATCAAACTGCTCATGTTTTTACAGTACACTCTGTGTTTATGTAACCTTTACTCATTTGTGTGCGTGCTTGCTTCTGCATTTATTTGTATGCATATTTTCAAATTTGTGTGTGCGTCTGTACAAGTGTTTGTGTGTCCTTCGTAATGAGGCTTGCATCTGTGCATGCAGTATTTGTTTGCTTGTGTGCGTTTGCTTGAAATGGTGGTGCAGAGATTAGCGTGCATGTGCGACAAACCCGTAGACCTGGGTTTGATTCACAGTCATGGCTGACATCGGCAGCGAGTGATATCTGAACCAGTCGTGGGCATTGCCTGAGTACCTGAATATCAGCGCCGGGGAGAAAAAGCACCCGGGCATGGTGCTGACCAAACTCCCCACTCGTACTCACTAAAAGTGCTTGCCCCAATAGCCTATGTAAGCTACACGGGGATCCTTTGTCTGCGAGTATTTGCTGACGCGTCTCTGCTGGGTGCCTTGTGTGTGTGTGCGCACGCGCGCCGTGAGCAGTGGTGCTTCAAGGGCCACTGCATGTGGAAGAGCAGCGAGCAGCTGGCAGGGGAGGACGGGAACTGGGGTCCGTGGAGCAAGTTCGGCGCGTGCTCGCGCACGTGCGGGACGGGCGTGCGCTACCGCACACGCTCGTGCCACAGCCCCGCGTGAGCACCCACAGTCTTCAACAGCAGCAGGACCATTACCATTGCTACTGCAATAATCATCAGCATCATCGTTACGAATGCGACGGTCACGATCGTCACCAGCACCAAATCGTGATCGTCGTCATTACCCTCACCAAAATAGTTACCACCAACAACACATCATCACCACGATCAAATTATCATAATTATCGCCACCAAATCATTGCCAAATCATCGCCATGATTATAATCGTAATATCACCATTGCAATCATCATTATTCTCTACAGTAATCAACATCATTTCTACTGCAATAATCATCATCTTTGCCACCATGAAAGCGTTATCACCATCATTGTCGTAAGTTGCATTTCCATTGCACCTTTCAAAGTTGATGCGTCTCGCACAGCTCACGTCAGCCAAATGTCTGGCGCATGATTGCTAAAGTGGCTTACCGGACGGAATGGGACTCTCAATAGATGCACGTGCTTACGCGCGTGTTTGTGTAGAGTGGCAACCTAGTGTTTAGCACAGGCCAGTTGAACTGGGTTCAACTCCAAGCCATAAAAAAACATCAATGTCAGTTCTGGGCCTCCCTTACGTCGACTCAGCCTTAAACGAGTACCTGATGTGTTGTGTAAACATCAGCACTGAGGAGAAAAAAAGCAGCTGAGCAGGGTTCTGGCCACACCCCTCCCCTCGTGCACCAAGTGCACCATAATCAGCCCTCTCGGGCAGCACTTGCCCTCAGTCGGTGAACATCAATACGGGGGATCTTTGTCTTTGTGCAGTGGTTAAGATCCAGGTAGCGGAATGTGGCGATGAGACTCGCCCCCCCCCCCCGGGCCCTTCATGAACATGTCTCTCTGCTGAGGGCCTACACGATTTGAAAGCCTAATTTGGGTGACAGTTTCCTGAGGGTGTGAATTGGCACGTGTGTGTGTTTGTGTCTACGTGCATGGGGAGCTGTGGTGTAGCGGTTAGCGCTTTGCGCCACAAACCCGGCGACCCGAGTTCGATTTCCCCTCATGGCCAACACCAGTGACAATTATTTGAAGCAGTCTTAAGCCTCCACTAGATCGACTCGGTCTTAAATGAGCACCTTGTGCAGTGTGTAAAATTCATAGCCACTTGGGAGACAAATGCAGCCGGGCGTGGTGCTGGCCACCCACCCCCTCGTTTGCCGTGCCTGCCTTTCATAGGGTGCTCGCTAACAGCACTTGCCCCAACAATCTGTTAAGGCTATATGGGGGCATCTTTGTCTTTTGCCTGCGTGTAGTCCGGCGTACGGAGGCCGCGGGTGCATGGGCCCGGCTTTCGAGTACCAGCTGTGCAACACGGACGAGTGCGTCCCTCACGAGGATTTCCGAGCGCAGCAGTGTGCCACTCGCAACTCCCACCACACCCACCGCAGCACCAAGCACCACTGGCTGCCCTACGAGCACCCTGAACGTACGATCGACACCGCCGCCGCTACCACCCACCATCGCCGTTCGGCTGCTCTTGTATGCTTTTCAGTGGCATAACAGGAGCAACAAAATGCAGAAACATGGAAGTTTGTGCGCAGGTACAACACAGCTGCTGTATTGCAATTAGAGAGAGAGTAACGCAGGGGATGGGGGAGAAGAGGGGAGAAGAAAAGAGGTGGTAGAGAGACAAGCAAAAGGGGAAGGAGGTGGGTGTCTGGCAAGTTGCGGCAGGACGGAGGAAAGAATCAAGCCAAGGGCAAATTTTGCGCTTTGCTTCTAAATGTTATTTACGTCCAAGGGCGTTAAGAACAAAAATACACAATGGACAAATTGTCCAAAAACCCAGTTCACGGGGAAGCCGCTCGTGGCATCAATTGCGTGTGTAGATGCACCGTGGAAAATAACAGTGCCGAAATGAGGCCAATCAGAGAAGCCTGGGCAACGAGGCATGGAAAACAGAGCGGAAATGCAGCAGAAAATCGAAGGAAATAAAAGAGGGGTAAAAATGTAGAAGGGTACAAAACAACGAGATCACTATGTTGACGAATTAGGGTCGGTGTGGGGTAGAGTTGATTTGCGAATAAATCTCGCCATATTCCTGAAGCTGGGCAGAATTAGCTTGGACGTTCTAAAACTGCCAAATGAAACAAAATTGTTCGCCCAACCAAACCGACGGTGGCACCTCATGATCCTTCCATATTCCCGTGTTTCCATGAAAATTACAAAAACCCCAATAAAGCCCACTGCTAGCTGACTCATTAAACCAAACAAAGCCAAACCTGTGCAGCTGTTTTTGTAAGATTGGAAACGATGCACTTAAACAAAATTAATGTATAAAATATATATATGTAACCTGCCGAGTAGCGGCACGATTAGATTATGCGCTCTAGATCGCAGCGAGCGAGTGAATAATTTTTGCTCCTCACAAACGCGTCCACTTTGTGCACGCACCTGTGCACGATTTCTTTGTGGGATCGAATCCCTCGCTTAAAGGAGTGGCTTGTCAGTTTGTTTCACCCAGGCCCCCGGCTCCAGCTGCTCTCAGACGGAGAGGCAAATAGAGCTATAAAGTGAGGGGCACCATAACAGTGATATGCCGCTAAGCAGAGTGAACTTGAGTGTGCTAAAGGGACATTTGGTGTTGCAGGCCCCCTCCACGCCAGCAGCCTCCTAGCGCTGACCCCGATTTCACCGTACGTGGAGGCGGCGATACAAAATTATTGTGACGATGAATGCGGAGGCGATGCGGGATATCGATGCGCCCTGTACCGTTGTTGTTGTGTGGCATGTGCTGTGCAGTGGCCAAAAAATGTGAGCTGATGTGCCAGTCGAAAGATTCGGGGGATGTGGTGCACATGAACCAGGCGCTGCACGACGGGACGCTGTGCTCCTACACCGACCCATACTCCGTCTGCGTTCGGGGAGAGTGTGTGGTGAGTCTTGCCAAGAAAAGTGAGAGTGCGAGTAATTCCTCGGCGTAAGAGCGCAGTTGTTGAACGCTGTGTGTGTGTGTGTGTGCGATGCCGTGGCTGCGTGACTCATTCGGTCGAGACCCCCATCTCATTCCATGGCTGATGGGAAAATTATTCCACAAATGCGCCTCGCACATTTCGAGAACTGAACGGAGATAAGAGAATTAAAAATAAATAAATAAATATTCCCCCCTACTGAAATACAATCCGTTTAAATCTCCGGGCAGAGTAATGGCAGTTGCCCGAGCGCCAACTCTGGACGCCGCCGCTCACCACGCCGTGGTTGCCACGCGTCCCTGTGGGGGGGGATGGTGTTGTGGCTGTGCGAGTGCAGAAGGTGGGCTGTGACAAGGAGGTGGGCTCGAGCAAGCTGGAGGACAAGTGCGGGGTGTGCGTTGGCGACAACTCTCACTGCCGCACCGTCAAGGGCACCATCACCAAGACTCCCAAGAAACTCGGTACGCCTGCTGCTGCGCAAGGATTGCGCCGTTGCAAATCCCGCTACACCACCTCTCCCCACACTCGCACACGGTGCACAAAGACATACAGACAGAGAGAGAGCCACATGGAGATTCTTGTCCTTTCTCCGCACCTTCGATTAGCACAGTTGGCTACGTACGGTGCGAAAGAAGTTCAACATACATTCATTGCGCTCTGTACTTATTCAGGTCGCACTCATTACACACAAAGTGCTTGTCGCAAATGAACCACAATACCTTGCTGATCTCGTCAAGGAGCATGAACCATCACGTGAAATCCGGTCATTGTCGCAGGCAGCAGCTTTTGGCTAGTCATCGAACAAAGATGGTCACCGCATCGCGCGTTTTTAGATGCGCTTCTGTGGCCGTCTGGACCACTTCCGATATTAGGAAGCCACTGGATTTATGCACTTTTTAATCTAAATTAAAAACTCATTTCTTCAGAATAGTTTTTTTGTGTTTAGCTTGTTCTCCTTACCCCGACACCTCCAATTGGCACAGTTGGCTACGTTCGGTGCCAAAGAAGTTCACCATACATACATACAAGTCTCCAGCGAGTTGCCGGATCTCCAATGTGTTGTTGTGTCATCCGGCACGATGTCTGACATTTTATCTCCCCGTGATGGACGTCAGTTTCTGAAGGACTGACCTTGCACCAGTTTCACTGCACATGCTAAGGAGCTTCTTCCAGAACCCAGTTCCCAGCTGCCAGCAGGTTTAGCGCAACGTTGGATATCATGCCGAATTATACGCGCTACAAGCCCGCCGCGCGCATCGTGGAGCAAAGCTCGATGCACGCCTCGCCGCCGTGATTACTTCGCTACGCGACACATTTCCATGCGGCGCTAGGTGAGGGAGCTGCCCCGACAGCGTGTCGCCGTGATTCGTCGTGAAGTTGCATGGCGGAGCGTGCCTCCGTGCTCTTTTAGATGTCCCACAGACGTCTCCACGAGGGCAGCACACGTACTCAGCAGACTCACGCACGCGCGCGTCGTCACGAGTGCACGTTCGTCGAGAGAGTGGGAGAGGAGAGCCAAAACATTTTTTTTTTGATGAGACAGGAAACCACTAAAACACCAAAGCCGTCGTGCGTATTTCACGTTCGGCTTGTTTTGTCCTTTTGGTCTGTGCATGATATCACCGTGGAAATTTCACCGTTGGCTCGGGGCCGCCAACAGCTCTGCCTCATTGCTCTTTTGAGCAGGGGAATACTTTGACTTTGTGCCTTTTGTTGCTATTAATATCTGCTTCCCAAAACATTTCCACAGCGCCATAGATGTTGGTATGCGTCTGGGTGCATGCGTGTGGAAGCGTGGGTACATATATTGTTTTTAATATTCCAAAGAAATGTACACACTCGGAGTAAATTTTCACTTGCTCTCCTACTTCTAGGAGATAAGCCGTGTTCCGTAGGATATGCTCTGAGGCGAATTATTCATAGAAAATTTCACTTGTATTTGCGTGTGTGTGTTTGCAGTGTAGGTGGCGGTAGTGTAGCGGTTAGCGCTACGCTGCGCTGCAAACCCGGCAACCCGAGTTCGATTCCTGCTCACGGCCAACATCGGTGACGAATATCTGAACCATTTCTGGGCCTCTCCTAGGTCGACTCAGCCTCAAATTATTATCTAGGGAGACAAAGGCAGCCAGCCGTGGTGCTGGCCACCTATCCCCTTGTGTGCTGTGTTGACCTTCAAAGGTGCTGGTGAACAGCCCTTGCCCCAACAGTTTGTTGAGGCTATACAGGGAGTCTTTGTCTTTGCAAAGACTCCCTGTATAGTTTTATTCTCGCTCATGGTCAACACCAGTAATCATCTGAACCATCCCTGGGCTTTCCCTGGGTCGACTCAGTCTCAAATGAGTACCCTTTTCCAGATGTAAACGTCAGCACTAGGTAGACAAAGGCGGCCAGGCGTGGTGTTGACGACCCACCTTCTCGTGTGCCATGCCAGTGCTCGCTGACAGTACCTGCCCCAACGGTCTGTTAAAGCTAAATGGGGGATCTTTGTATTTGTCTTTTTTGCAGGGTTCATGAAGATGTTCGACATCCCGGCTGGCGCACGGCATTTGCACGTTTACGAAGATGAGCCCACCATGCACAACATGGGTACGATTTAAACCGCCCACAGACAACCACCAACATCGTATTCATTGTGCCGGTTGGTGTTCACGGTTGTTTTTATCAGTGGTCACGTCAGAGGTGCCACACATGACGTGAATGAGCCACCACCGTAACTTAATAGCGTAGAAAGTAAACGCCCAGATAGGCCCTTCCCGCTCATTTTACTTGAAGTGATGGCCATGCTCTCAACTCTTTCAGGCTGGTTCCTATCAACAATAATAAGGCGACAATTTCAGCTCTGTTTTGACAGTTGGTGGTTTAGACAAGGCTGATAGCGTTACACATGCAATGTAGTGGTCACGTGACATTTATGGATGGGAGTCGTGCCTCCATCCTGCTGTTCATGAGCAGCAGCAGACCGTTGCATGTTGGTAGGGGGTGCCCGGGTGGCGAGATGTTAACTACCTCGCTTGATGTGCAGGAGGTCGTGAGTTTGATCCTAAGCCTGACGTTTATATATTTGTAGTTTGCATGTTCTCCCCTTGGTCGCATTAATTTATCTCCGGGTCCTCCGGCTTATCCTTCCACATTTATAAACATGCGTTTAGAGTATTTGGCTGCTATACATTTTCACGTGATAAGCCACTTCGTTGAGCTATCATTTGTGGCCAGTGCTCTTCTGTAAAAGATCTATATAGCTCAGTGGGCCTTACCTGGTAAAGTCATCGTGAGGTTGTCTCTTCATTTACAGGAAGTGTTGGAGTTGAATCCTTATCCTTTAATTACTTTGTTAGGTAGAGTAAACAAGCCGTCTCAGACCAGCCAGATTATTCACTGGCACAAGACGATACGATCATGGACTCTGGAAGCTCATGCGTGTGAAGCCCTTCATTGGCTTCCGGTTCCACGGCATGTAAAGTACTTGTGGGAGTTACGCACGCCTGTCGCCAACGATCGAACGCGACAACACCTCAGGTCTGCAGCTGCTCGTTGTGATCTTGTTGTCGTCGTTGTTACACGAACGCCGATCTAGAGACGCACGGTCACCGCGCTTTCCAGAAGGCTCGGCCCCTCTCGCGTAAAATTCTCTACGTGACAAACTCAAGAACAAAAACCTCGAGTTCAACAGCCACTTCGAAAGAGAACTTAAATTTAAGTGAATGAACACAGCATGACCAGACGGCAGTGCGCATTTGAGATTCTATTCGCGTTATCTTGCGTTCCATTACATATAAGGCCTCGCCGCATATCCGGCCACTATTTTCGTGGTGTTTGGCTGCGCGTGGGACCGTTTTCATCACTTCCCTCTCCAAATTTACATTTCACTCACAGCTGCTGGCAGTCCGGAATGGGAGTGTTTCCCCTCCCACCCCCACCACCACCGAGCCTCCTTCTGAATGCCACGCATCTCTCCCGGAACGAGTGGACAACCGCGCTCGCTAAGATCCCCACGGAGGGCGCCGCTTGCGTCAAGCGAAATGGCGCCACCAGTGGCCGTGGTCTGCACGCCCCCGCCTCCCTTGTTGAGAGGAACTCAGAATGCACGCTCACGGAAGCTGTGCGAGAGAGGCAGCAAGCTTTAGCAGTAGTGGAGACAAATGAGCTGGCCACAAAACCCGCTCATGCGCCATGCCACTCCTAACAGGCGCTCGCAAAAGAGCACCTGCCTCAGCAGTCTGGTGAAAAGCTGCACGGGAAATCTTTGTGTTTGCGCAGTGGTCAAGAACCAGGTGACGGGACTGTTTGTCCTGTCGGGAAGAGGGGACGAGACTCGGCTGCCCAGACCCTTCGTGGACATGTCTCTGCTCTGGGACTACAGCCGCTCAGAGGAGGATGGGCGCGAGAGCCTGCAGACCCAGGGACCCCTTCCCGATGCCATCACCGTTCTGGTATGACGACGCACAGCGCAGGGCTTTTCCATTAGACCCTCCGCTGTACGTCTGCTCCCTATTATTGTCCCGTGTCATCTGGCGAGCAGACAGAGAGTGGCTGGGGTTTTCCAGTGAAGTAGTTTGGACTTCTTCGGGAATGAAATCGGTATTGTTTAGCATTAATTTGATTTGGATTATCGGTGTCGTATCTCATCTGATTTCATCGTTTGGTGGAAACCGTTCATCCGATTTGATACACGCAAGAGTGTGCGGGGGCGGTGACGGCGGGGATGGCGAGCGTGAACTTTGTGTTATGAACGTAGCCACAGTTCCAGACGTTTTTTTTTTTCATTAAAAACCAAAGACTAAAAAAAACGATGGGGAGAGCGGGGGTGGAAGGGTGGCCTAAACCAATTTTCAGATGTTTCAAATAGGTTTCATTTTGCTAAACGCATTTTGAGTTTCAGCGCCGTTAATAACGACACGCCAGCTGCCGTGGTGATCGCATTCCGGCTTTCAACAAAAGCACATGTGGCGTGGCGTAATGCACGGGAGGCGGGGGGGCCCGCCTGCACTAGCTGATGCAACGGGGGTCTCGTCCACGACATTCCGCCGCTCGGCCGTTCACTCGACCCCACCCCCGCGGTCTCCCCCCCCTCCCCCCCGCAGATCAACCCCTACGACTACGACACCAAGGTGAGCGTCACGTATCGGTACATCATCCACGAGGACCTGCTGCCGATCGTGGGCAGCACCGGAAACAACGTCCTCCTGGAGGAGATGGACAACTACGAGTGGGCGCTCAAGAGCTGGTCGCAGTGCTCGCAGCGCTGCGGTGGAGGTGCGTACCCAACTGTCCCCGCCACCCTGGCCCCCGTCGCCACCACCGCTGCCGCCGCTCTCCGTGGTGGCACCGCACAGCTCTCTCTCTCTCTGTCTCTCTGACGCATCTGACGGGTTGTGCCGCGCGTCCGTTCGGCACGATAGTCTGACGTTTCGCTCCGGGATGTGAACCGAAGGAGCTCCCGGGACTCGCAACGGAACGTCACTGTGGATAGGAGACGTTAACTACCTCGCCTGGTATACAGGAGGTCATGGGTTCGATCCCAACCCTGACGCCTGCTGTATATTTGGAGTTTGCATGTCTCTCTCTCTCCCGTGACCTCGTGGATTTTTCCCCGGGTCCTCCAGTGTGTTCCTCCACATTTAGAATCAACATGCATTTAGAGTATTTGGCTGCTATAAACGTCCACGTGAAAAGCCACTTCGTTGAGCTATAATTTGTGATTGCCAGGTCGCTTCTAAAAAAGAACTATGTAGCTAAAAGGGCATTACCTGGTAAAAGACAATAAAATAAATACTCTTATTAGTTTTAGTTTTATTTAGCGATGAACAACGCGGTACAACCATGAAAAACAATTCCGAGAGCTCAATCGCTTGCCTTCACAGGCAGCCCATCGCACATTCATCAATGTGGCCATGCTGCCCAGCAAGGAAACATATGGCCATGTGGGGAAAGTAAGGGGGGGGGCGCAGCACATGGCTGTCGAGGACCCTTGAGTGAGCTGCCAGCATAATTTAACTAATAGGAAATTCATTTACAGTTGTTTAATTAACAAGTCTCTGAAGAAGCAACACATTACACGTTAATATGTGGAGTGGCTAGGGGCTATACAAATCCTTAGTGTGCTTTTGCCTGGACTAAGATTGGAGCTAGGCTCGTGTGAAGAGTTGCACACTTTAAACTAAACTAATTACCGTTACTTTAACAGGTAAGACCAACTGAGCTATATGGCTCTTTTTCAGAAGTGACTTTTCGTGTGAACAATTATAGCAGCCAAATACTCTAAATGCGTGACGTTGATTCTAAATGTGGAGGGAAAAACCGGAGGACCCAGAGAAATATCCACGTGACCACGGGGAGAGAAACACGCAAACTCCAAATATACAACAAGCGTTAGGGTCGGGATCAAACCCCACGACTTCCTGTATACCAGGCGAGGTAGTTAACATCTCGCCACCGCTACAAGCAAAGCGATTTTGCTTCGCTCGTAGCGCTTGGCAGGCCGCCAGCAGCTATTGGATGTGACAGGCGAGGTAAGGGGATTCTGCCTCAGACATTCTGTAGGGGACAGAAGAGCACGTGGTGCTGGAACCTGGAGAGGGTGCCCTCTGTATCATAGAGATGGAAACACTGTCGTCTCCTCGTTGTACGGAAAACTCAACGTGCAGAATTTCGCTACAACGCAACAAAGATAATTAGGGGGGATCAATTCGACACGCATTGCGTTAACTTACACGTTCACGGAGTTTTGAATCCACAAATTACAAACTTTTCAGGGGAAATATCAAAAAAAGTGCACTCTGTCGTTTATCCTCACGTGCTTTCCAATTAGATAACGGAAGTCAATGGGAAAATTAGGCTCGATCGCATCTGTTCCGTACATCGAGGGATGCCTGTAGTCGTCCTGAGTCATATCTGAAGTTGTGCTCTACCTTGTGTTTCTCTGTCCAGCTGTCGTATCTCAACTAAAACTATAAACTATTTAACTATTTTGATTTTACCAGGCAAGGCCCACTCAGATATATTTTTGTATTTCAGAAGCAGCTTGGCCACAAATGGTAGCCCAATTAAGTGGTTTATCACATGGAAATTCATAGCAGCCAAATACTCTAAATGTACATTGATTCTAAATGTGGAGGCAAAAACCGGAGGACCCGGAGAAAAATCCACACAACCACCGAGAGAACATACAAACTCCATATATACAGCAGCAGGCGTCAGGGTGAGGATCGAACCCACGACCTCCTGTGTACCAGGCGAGGTAGTTAACATCTCGCAACCGAATCTGTTAGGTGGCAGACTGAACATTATCCTGGGTAACAACTTCCCGAGCCATCCCTTATAAAATGGGTACGCACTCAAAAAATAAGTTGGCAATTGCTTTATCGAAAGCGTGAGAGAAATTGTTCTCTTCAGAAGAAAAGTCCTTGGTGAAAGTAGCCCGGTATGAGTACCCACAGCCATGCGAAATAATGGTCCACTTCCAATCCAATAATCTGTTTGGGACAATTTGAGTAATGAAGTCATTATGATGGGTAAAACGGAATGCACGCAAATCACACTAAACACGACATTATTCATGTTACAATTCACATCGAAATTCCTCAATGCCGCTCAGATCTTGAGACTTGAGAAATGTTTGGCTTAAGAACCAGCTTAAGAGTCAATGTTAATTCAATTCAAGCGTGTTTATTGTTCTCTACTCAATGTTGTAAAAACGCGGGCATTATCAAGGTTTCCAGCTGCACTGCCGATATGCAGCCACAGATTCAGGAGAGAGCAAGTTTCACGAAAACAGAGCACCTTTTACACAACGACACGTGGCACGCGTCCGAGAGAGCACACATGTTAACTCATTTAACTCGAGCGTATATGGACCGAGTTGCATGGAAAACGTCGGTCGCTATAATTTATAATGAACACAGTCGGTCCTACTGTTCATCGCGGGGTGACAGAATGGCCAAGAGAGTGCGAGCCGGTCACCGTGCCCAGAGCTCATTGGTTTGAAATCAGAACTGGGCAGCCCGTATATTTCCTGAAATGTGCACAATTGTTTTTTTCCAGTTCCACAGCCAAAATATCTGCCGCGATTTCAAGTCACACTCTCTCCGGGGGGATAGTCAGGCTTTCTCGTGAACAAAAAAAGCACTGTACCTGGCCCCTTGGAACTGCCGATAGTAAATATGGGCACATAAAGAGTATGCGTGAGGATGGTTGGGTGACTGTAGTCTCTCGAGAATAAAACATCGAGTGATCGAGGTTATTTTTACCAAAGCATCTCTGAAATGAACAATATTGGCATTGTTACATCATTATTACATCTTTGAAATGTGCGTCTAAAGTATTTGGCTGCTGTAAATTTCCACGTGATACGCCACTTGGTTGAGCTATCATATCTGTGGCCAGGTCGCGTCTGAAAAAGAGCTACACAGCTCAGTGGGCCTTACCTGGTAAAATAGAGATAGTTTAGGTTTGTGAGTAGTTTCATATGAAACATGCCATCAACATCATCAGCCATATCTATCGCCACCATCCCTCATGGTCCTACCCATTCCCACGATCCTCACTCTTGCACATGAAGGGATCTCACCCTTCTCCATCTCCACGGCAGTCATCCTCTCAGACAGAACTCTCCTTTGCGTTGCCATTTCATCACCAGTCAGCCATCATCCTGACACAATGCATTGCGTGTGTCCCCTGATCCATTTGTCGTTCCTTCTCGGTGGAATTCCGAGCAAATCTGCTATTACAGCTCCAGTATTCAAATTAGAAAAACCTGTCCGTATGTTCATTTGCCTGTTCTGACCAAAAGTCCTAAGTTCAACCACCGCGCAATAGATGGCAGTGGTGGCATCTACATCTTTGAAACATGAAGAACCAGTGGCATCTACATCTATAGAAGATTATACAACTTTTAAAGCCATTCCCCATGTTTAGTGTACATGCCATACAACATGTTTGGAATCGACAGGAGTAAAGTTGGACGAACAAATCGACTTACGAACAGACCTGTGAAACCTAACTCTTTCGCAAGTAGAGGAGTCCCTGTAAACAATTGCTTATTTACAACCAACACTAAGAGCTACCCTTGAGGAAATTATTGACGCTACAATGGCATGTTTTTGGGGGAAAATTATACCAAAAACTGTGTGTGCCATATAGAGCATCTCGGTGTTGCTCGGTGTGTGCGACCCCTCGGTGTTGAGGTGCCATGCTCTCCGTGTGCCAGGCCTGCAGTTCACCAAGTACGGCTGCCGGAGGAAGAGCGACCAGAGGATGGTGCATCGAAGCTTCTGCAGCGTCGACAAAAAACCCAAGCCCATCCGCCGGCGCTGCAACCAGCACGAGTGCATCAAACCGAGGTGGGCACAGTCACGCCGCGGCGGGGTGCAGTCATTGTAGGACGACAGCTGACGCGACAACGCACGTGAAGAGCTGCCATAGAAGCATGTTCTGTATAGAGGAGCTGATGCTCGGGGCTGTGGACATTAAGGCAGCTTAGCTTTACAAGAACATGGCTTTGAATCCTTGCCTCTGATTCCATGCCACCTTTTATACCCACCCAATTGATTACAGCTACTCACCACTCTGAGTGTAGCTGTTTTAGTCTAAGCACTCATGTCTCAGTACTGTGGAGGTTATTCTTACACCAATGCGTAAATACCGGGCGTGTACGTTTGTTATCATTTGCAATCGGATCGGTCCATTTTCTTTGCATCGATAATTGAAATGGGTTCTGCAAATATGAGGCGATCGAAGTTGGATCAGAAGGTGACCTGATTAATATTGGGTCACATTATGCAACGCATTTAAATCTGATCTCAATTTATAGGGACTGGAACAAAATGACTGATCTAGATAAGATCCACATCCTAAATCAGATTTCATTTATTGAAAATGGGATTATTCCCCTCACCTGAACCATATAATTGGGAAAAAGTCAACCAAAAACGCTCACCTCTCGTCAATAAAAATATCAACTCCTTACTAGTGCAATGAAACCGATAAGATCTGACCTCCCTCTCCACACGCAATTTTTGGGTAGCCATCTAAACTCTATTGTTTTTTTCTGCTAAGGGAAAGCTAAACTATTAACAATGTTTTTATTTTACCAGGTAAGGCCCTCTGAGCTATATAGATAGCTCTTTTTCAGAAGCGACCTGGCACACACATGATAGCTCAGCGAAGTTGCTTATCACGTGGACATTCATCGCAGCCAAATACTCTTTAAGTGAGTGTAGGCAATATCTCCCCCCTCCCCCACTTACCTCCCTTGTGGGCCGAGACTCCTTTGAGTAAGACCACCCCCAACAAAGCCGGTGGCTGAAACGGGCCGTGGCGAAGTGACCTTTCACCTGCTCCAGGCAGCCAGGGGTGCGGCTCTGAGCTCCTCCGCGCGACCGCTGTGACGGCGGTGGAAGTTGGCAGCGGGTGCAGTGAGAGGCGGCCCCAAGGTCGGGTGGTAGAAGGGGGGTGGGTTGTTTATTGCACGGGCTGGCTCAATATGAAAAGTGTATTCCATTTTTTTTTTCAAATATAACGTTTCAACGAGTGACCCAACAACTTTGGTTTTTGACCTGTCGGATATTAAATAGTTGATCTAAATTCTGAATGTTTCACGCGCGTCAGAGCTTTGTGTTTTTAAGTGTTTTTTTACATGGTGCTTGCGTAACCTAATAAAAGTGCAGGCACGCAGACAATCTCCGTTAAGTCGCAGCTGTCATGTTTCCAATAAAGGCATGAATGATTAATGTCAGAGGACACGAATGTTATTATTCATCGGAGGGGCATATGTCTTTTAAACAACATGACTATCGAAAGCATGCCTGTGAAAACTCAAGCAGTGAAATTCATGACATGAATTAAGAGCTCTCAGTGCACAGCACGATAACTGCTTTATGCACCGACACTGCCCTCTAGTGGTGGCGTTTTTTTTTCTGCGTATGCATTTGAAAACCACAAGATACTGTACCATATAACAGTAAAGCCTCCAACACACGTCCTGGTTTGGCCAGGATTTGGGAAAATCAGGATTTCACCACAGTTGGAAAAGTTATGGCCTGGGGTTCAACTAACGATTTGGGAATAGGGCAAGGTTAGTGTGCAGAACCGACATCAGAAAGCATGAGGAGCAGGGCCACTCCCTGACTTGGCGGGGCTAGTGGCTAACTGGGCGGGGCTAGTGGCTGAGCGTGACTAATGGCTGAGTGGGCGGGGCTAGTGGCTAACTGGGCGGGGCTAGTGGCTGAGTGGGTGGGGCAAGTGGCTAACTGGGCGGGGCTAGTGGCTGAGCGTGACTAATGGCTGAGTGGGCGGGGCTAGTGGCTGAGTGGAGGGGGCTAGTGGCTGAGTGGGTGGGGCAAGTGGCTAACTGGGCAGGGCTAGTGGCTGAGCATGACTAATGGCTGAGTGGGCGGGGCTAGTGGCTGAGTGAACGGGGCTAGTGGCTGAGTGGGTGGGGCTAGTGGCTGAGTGGGTGGTGCTAGTGGCTGAGTGGAGGGGGCTAGTGGCTGAGTGGGTGGTGCTAGTGGCTGAGTGGGTGGTGCTAGTGGCTGAGTGGGTGGTGCTAGTGGCTGAGTGGGTGGTGCTAGTGGCCGAGTGGGCGGTGCTAGTGGCCGAGTGGGTGGGGTTATGTAAAAGTAGGCGTGGCTAATGGAGGAAGTGGCTTCCAGCTCGCCATGAGTCCCATTTGAGCCTCCCAGAAATGACCTTTTGGTAGCTTTAATTGTTCTATGCCAGTGTATATGAATGTATGGAGCAGTGTTTTTCGATCATTTTTAGAGGGGCGGCACTTTCGCCGATAAGACATCAGTGTGAGGGCCACCACACCGCCTATAGGGGTGTTTTCACTGTCAGGGGCCGCACTGAAGGCTACCAGGGGATGCCAGTGGCCCACGGGCCTTGCAATGAAGAAGACTGCTCGATAGTATATTATTCCACCACCACCATTGCCATGATCACCTACCTGCACTGTACTCTCCAGACACGCGAGATAATGAATAGTTGTATGTGATGCTAATTCGGGCTGTGTGTGAGCATGCAGCTGGGTGGTGGAGCAATGGGAGGCCTGCACCAAGCCCTGCGGTGCCCAGGGCTTCCAGAGCCGTACAGTGCGCTGCCTCCAGGCCCTCAGCGACAACACGAACCGCTCGATCCACCACAAGTACTGCCCCGGGGCCAAGCCGGACTTGCGACGTCCGTGCAACCGCATACCTTGCCCTGGGAGCTGGAGAACGGGAGCCTGGTCTGAGGTCCGCCACTCATACTGCACCAAGGACCCATCCCGTCTGCCACAGCGATAGTGCGGTGCAGTCGTGTAAACCGCTTGTGCCTCACAGCAAGAATGGTCTGGGTTCAGTTCCTGACTCGGAGGCGCCATTTTGTATGGACTCCTCCTGATCTGCGTTGCTCTCACCATACATTTTCACTGGTATTGCACAAACATCTCAAAGCTAAGAAGTTACCTGCACAATTACTCAATTGAGATTCCACAAAGCAACATCGCCCCCTACTGTAAAAAAAATACCTTCACAGGACCCTCCTGAAAAAGAGTGGAGCCTTAGTGAGATGTATGAAGGCTTTTGTGGGTAAACAAGCGTAGTAATAATAATACGAGCCAAGGATCAATGTCTCGAGTTAAAAGCAGAATATGAACAGTAAAACATGAGGCACAATATTATATATAAATATAAATCAGTAATTATATGATCATTGCTCTCTATGAATACTATCTGGGTCACCAGTCGACCGGTGGAGGTGGCACTTTGACTAGATGCAGCCACAGCAGGAGATGTATACTGTGGCTGTGGTGTAGCTGAATTCATCTCTGATCACAGCTATCGCAGTGGCACACGACAGACCTGACTCGACAGGGCACATTCGCACCTCGTGGGTGGATCTCTGCAGGCGAGACGCCTCAATGTAGATTGCTTCGCTGGAGACAAGCTTCTTCGCCCAGCTTTGCATCTGTCCACAAAGCAGAAACATGTGGTGCACTGCCTGAAGTTTATTGGATAATATCAAGTCATATCCGTTGTTATTTTTTTCAAAAAAAATGTTTACCATCATTAAAGGACCCAGAAAACAGTGGGAATTTCAAATGTAGTGGAAAAGAAACCAAAAACGTACAACAAGGTCGACGTAATGCCCACTTAGCATTAGGGAACGAACGAGGGCGTCCGGGTTCACCGCCCTACCATGGTAGGGGTAACGAGTGTCTACAAAGCAGAGGTGAGGATATCAAGTCACATCTTAACTGTGAGTAAATTAGTCAAAATCGCCAGTGTTCAGGCCTACTCTGCTCACCATTAAATCTACAAACGATCGTAAAGTAAAACACGAGAACGCGTAAGAGTATTCGGACAAGTGCGCGCGAACGTCTGCCGATGCCAAATCGCCTGACGCGCACGGGGCCATGCGTCCTGGAGCACGACGAGTGAGAGACGAAGCCGCGTCTCCCCCCTCCACCCCCTTCTGCCCCGCAGTGCTCGGCCACGTGTGGGGAGGGCGTGCAGCAGCGACAGGTGCTGTGCCGCGCGCTCGAGGAGGACGGCGACGTCGCGTGCGACGGCGAGCAGCCCGACGCCGCGCAGAAGTGCACCATGGCGCCCTGCGTCGGTAAGAGCCACGCGCCGCCAAGGCGGGTTAGGACACACGGGGTCATCGGGGGGGGGGAGAGGTTCATGATGGCCGTGTACGAGCATTGAGTTTCCGCAGCTGAAAATGGTGGTGAGATGTTGACTACCTCGCCTGGGATGCTGGAGGTCGTGAGTCGGATCCCGACGTCTGTATATTTGGAGTTTGCGGTGTCTCTCTCCCTGTGGTCGCTTGGATTTTTCTCCAGGTCCTCTGGTTTTTCCCTCTACATTTACAAATAATGTGTTTAGAGTCTATCACTGCTATGAATTTCCACATGATAAGCCACTTCATTGTGCTATCATTCGTAGTCAGGTCGCTTCTGATTAAAACTATATAGCTCAGTGGGCCTTACCTGGTAAAATAAAACATTGTTTAGTTGAATAGATTAAAACCCACGTGCGAATCCATATCTCAGTCACCCCGTGATTTAAACTCAAACCCCAACATGTTCGTCAATAACACTGCACGTTGCCTTCAAAGGAAATGTATATAATGGGCGGCGTTTCGGGAAATGGCCCTTCTCCGTGACTAACCTGGGATCTCAGGTTTACCGAGTTAATGGCCTCAACTCGTTCACCAATGACTGCACACAAAATAACTTTATTGTTTTTCTATCATTTGGTTTGCTCCAGCATTGAGAATTGAAAATGTTTGGTTTGTTTCAACTGTGACAAACTTTGTCTTCAGGAAATGTATGAGGTGTAAACCCCTACCATGTAAAAACAGGTCAATAGGAGTGACTTCCGAGTCAGTCTTAAAGTCAACTTCCAGAGTCGTTCTCTGCAAACATTGTTGTGTACTTCTCACTCTGAGAGCTCCGAAAGGAAATATCGCCCATCGCAAGACGCGACAATGATTATACAATCATTCCTGCATCCGCACACCTGCGGTGAAGACTCCGGTGGTGACTGCGATGTTGGTGCTAGATCGCAGAATACGTGCTGATGACATTCCGTTGTGACGATGATGGCAGCTGTGATAGTGGTAAGTCATAGGAGTGATAGAGTAAATGGCAAGAATGATAGGTTGTGTGATAGAGTCAATCGGAGATCCGTGTCTGTTATTCACACCCGCAGATCCAAGTGATCATGTTCACCTTCGAGTAAACTGGCTCGCCCGGCCCGACCTGGAGCCTGCCATGACAAAACGCTCCTCAAGTATGACCCAGAGCATAGGCCTGCACGTGACATCGAAGCAAATTAATGACTCCGTTCCGCTTTCTGAATTTTACAAATGATTTGGAGACGCTGTGTTCGCAGCATTGCACCGGCGCAATTCATGAGAAAAAAAAATCAACAAATTTATCGATAACGCTGCCTTAAATAGAAAAATATATAAGAGGCGACGTTTCAGGCAATAGCTCTCCTTCATAGCACGGAGAGATCGAGTGAATAATAATTTGAGACTGTGCTATATATCATGCAGCCCTGATAATAATCACATTGTAAACGATGTTTTCTCATGAAGAGTTTTAAATTGGCATATTAAGTTACCTATTTATGCATAAACTATTTAGTATTAAAATTATGAAATGTTGGCACATTGCATTATAGGTTACGATGCTGAAGTGTGGTGTCTTATTGAAGAGCTCTTTTCTACTCAGTATCAAAAAGGCTTTCAAGAACGGTTATAAAAATCTGAACCTTGCAAGCACAATATTTAAAATATTTCTTGAGTATGGATATTATATAATTGGAATGATAAGGCAGGCCCAGGAATGAGTCGCTAAGTAGACAATTTGAGCCTGTCTTCATTAAGATACCACACTGAAACATGGTTACCCATAATGCAAAGTGCCAGCAATATTTTCTAACGCTTCTTTCATTACAAATGAGTTGATGCATTCACACATTTTTTTTTATTGTTGAAGGGTGTGTCTGCCAATTTTCAAACTCTGAATTGAGAAACATGTTTTATTTATTGATTTCTTATCATTTCCCCGTGGTGTATGGCGAAGCCGTCAACTCTTATTCACTCTATCTCTCTGACCTCTCCATGTGCTATAAGGAAGGGCCATTGGTCAAAACGTCACCTATTATACATTTTCCCTTTTAAGCCCCCAGTGTTATTGGTGGACGCGTTGTGTTTTTGTTCTTCAGAAATCTTAGCATGTGGCTGTAAATCAGTTTTTTTTCCAGCTTTGGCTTTTGGCAAACAAATTTAAGCACCCGAGTGAGAAATCTTTGTGCTTGAATTGAACTTTACTTGTGGCTTTCAAGCGGCTTTGGCAAGAGACGAGGTTTGGCCAAGATTCGTTCACGTGCCATGTTGCGTTGTGTGCCCTGCAGTATGGCGCACTGATGAATGAGGTTCTGGCAGTCATTCATCATACATACCCGGCAATACAAATATTAGCTAATCGAATGTTTTTAAGTTTGTTCTGGCTTTGGGCTTCCGCTGTTTTGCCAACTTTCACACCGCTTAGTTATGCATGTTTACATTTATTATCGTTTTACTTTGCTGTCACTTAATTCTCAACAAAAAAGCAAAGAATTACGCGCGGCCGTGACCAACAACAAAAACTACGATGCCCGAAACTTTGCATTGGTCTGGTGCACAGAGGAGCCTTGCTTAGGCGACAAGTCCATCTTCTGTCAGATGGAGGTGCTGGTGCGTTACTGCCCCATCCCCGGCTACAACAAGCTCTGCTGCGAGTCGTGCAACAGGCGGGCGGCGGGAACGCTCGTACCGCCTTCCTCCGACACTTACGCCCTCGCGGAACCCGGCCTGGGCGGCGTCGCCGAGGATGCCCACGCCACCGCCGCCGCCGTCGCCGTGTCGGCGGCGGCGATGCCCACGGAGTGGCCGGCGCGGCCTGACGTCGCGCCCACTGCCCGCCTGGAGCCGCCCCACTTTGAGATCGTCGGTTCGGCGGCCGCAAGGAGGGCAGTGGCTTTTTCTGTGGTTGGCGACGACGACGACGACGGCGACGACGACGACGAAGGAAGGGAAAGGGAAGTCGGCGACGGGCGGCCCTGGGGGCGCCGGGCCTCGGCGGAGAGCGGCGAGGCTCGCGGGGGGAGGCGCGAGGAGCCCCCCGTTGGGGTGCGTGGGGAGGACCGGCAGCCACAAGCTGGCGAGGCCGCACGGGACCCGCTCGCATTTCACAAGGTCGCCAGGAGGGCTGGCGAGGGGGCCTCCTCGGATGTTGTGAAATCCAACGCGTTTGACGACTTGTCTTCAGAGGATGACGAGGTACACGAGGAGGAATCTGGAATACTGCTGATGAGATGATCAGAAGATTGTTTTATTGGTAAAACCTTCTGCAGAAACTTTGCACACTCCAGAAACCCACTGTAATGGCAATTATTTTAACAGGCAACTGTAACGTTTAACACGGTAACAAACATCGTTGGACGATGAGCGGATAATATTCTCTCGCCTAGTGATTGCCTCAGTCCTTGTGAGTGTGGTGTGGTTACCTAAAGTTATCCAGGTGTGAAGCGTAGAGCTGACAACGTGTTTGATTTCACACAGCACTTAACTGCTTGACTGATTTAGACTTAACACAGCGGAGAAAACTTTTGAAACTACAAAGTTGGATGTATTAACATTTTTATTTTAAGAGTTTGATTAACATCAGAAATGAAGGGTTGACAGACGGTCAGTTATCTGACTGGACACTGCAGATCTTAGATACTTATTAGGACTTAAGAAAATGGTGCTGTGGCCACCTTTCTCTACGGTGCTAGGCAAGATGCGAAGTCTTGCTTCTCTCGGAGAACGTCACATATCATCTCAGCTGGGCGAGTAGCATCGCGCGGGGCCATGCAGCGTTCGGGGGGGAGTGCCAGTGATTGTTGAGACGACAACAACGCCGCTGAGCCGTTCTGGTACTCGGGGTTGCCTGCCACCTGAGTTGTGTGGAACGGCTGGCCGAGAACATTCGCAACAAAAAGTGTTTTACTTAAATATGTGCGTGGTTGAGAAGACCGAAGCACGCTATTAAACGATATTATTATTATTAGGACTAGCTTATTAACAAACAACATGGGTTGTACTCCAGGCCAGTACTTGTGCTTACAATTCTAATTCGCCGTTTCACTCCAAAGACTTTGTTGCCTCCTTAGTGGCGAGGCTAGTTTGATCCATGTCAGAGAAAGCAGATGTGTTTTTGTTTTTCTAGATTTGTTTTGTAATATAAAAACATATTAAAGGAAATAACGTCCAACTTAGATAGTGTACTATTATGTTGGTTTACGTTCCAGAATTTACTATGGTATCTGGTAGAAAAAAAAATGCATAACAATTACAAACACCGACAACCTCATGTTTTATGAGCGGCTATTGAGTTTGTCTTTTTAACTTTTTGCGTTTTTACGCACGTCTAGTTGTGTTTAAATGATTAACCTGACAACTGGAGTCAAGGGAATTGACTCGACAGGAAGAAAATCGTACTTTTTCACGAGAGATTTTATAAACCGTGCATAGCTTTCCGTTAGTTATTTCACTCCTACTGAAACGCCGTTGACAAACGTCAACTAATGTTGCCAAGGTGCCATCGTTATTATTCGTGCTTGCATTACGGCTAAAATACTGACACGGTAAATTATTCAGTCACGTATATTTCTGCTCAGGATAAATTTTGAATTCCACAGGATATCAATCACCAACCACTAGCCTCTACGCTACCCAGATGCATCCGATTCAGACCGGCAGCTCTTTCATAAACGGTGCAAGTAGGGCATGCCATACGAACGGCTGCTTAATGTAAATATCAACATGGGAGTCCCAGCATTACTACTTTAAATCTTAACTCAAAGGTTTTCAAATTTCACCTGACCTCCAAATACTGGCCTGCGTTAGCGTGCACAGTAATAGATGAACGAGGCATGCGCCCACACGAAACCACGAGTTTGTGTTGTTGCAAAAACCCTGATTTGTGTGGCTGTTTAAGGGTGACCGACTACGGTTTGGTTTGATAGGGGTCACTGCTCGCGTTGACCCCGAGGGTTAACGCATGGGTGCAGTCGGTCGACTGCACGACATTAAACCCACCCGTTAGTCGTGATGTCCCAGAGCCATGAAGTTCTCTGCGTGCACAGTGTTACGTCAAATTTATTTTCAAAAGAGGTGATTGAAAGAATATATCTTAAAAAGAATCAAGGAAAATGAAAACAAAGGTCAATTTGAATGAATATCTTCCAAGCGTAAAAACAAAACAGCGTCTATTGTAAATATTGTAAATGTTAAGTATTTGCTATAAAACACAGTGTTTAAAGAGAACTATGATAACTCTCAAAAGGGCTTGACTTTAGATAGGTATGATGTCTATATTGCGAGTGCCCGACGGGCTGCAGGTGTGAAGGGAAGTCGACTGAATGAGCGCACCCACATGCAATAACACGCACACGCGCACACACTTGTGTGACTGCAGCGGTATTTATTTAAGCAACTTAAAACAAAACAGTGTATCACGTACGATAGAGGTCAATGGTGCAGGTCAAAGCACTTGGATGGTTTTCATAATTTGCTGTTTATGTTTATTATTAACTTTATAAACTTGTATTTAGAGATAATGCAATATACCTCAAACAGTAAGACCCAGGTCACTGCAGATTAACCAAGGTCATGTGCTTGATTGACCCTGTGCCACTCATCGACAGGGCTCTCTAGTCATGACTGTAATATTCATTGTGTTTGAACTTCAGATTAACATGGGAGAAATGTCTGTTCGTTTATAAAAACAGCCATTATATTTGAATCTAGAGAATTAAGTCGTTTGTTGGTGTTTGGTAATAATTTCAAGTAGCAATATAATACTTTTAACATGTTCACTGGCAGGGGCACGCCAAGTTTGGTTACAGGATTTAAGACTTGCGTGGAATGCTAGATTCAAATATGAACTTCAACACGCTTTTTATGTTAGTACTAAATCGTATAACGTATGTATCCCCTATACACCATGCTTAGTTTGTCCATTGTTGGATCGTATTAACGCTTTATAAATCCAGGGTGGGGCACCCGGTTCGCTCCCGTCTCTCCGGCTAGTACTGAGACGATGAAAAGTGCCGTCTCTGCTCGCGGGGGGTGCCCATTCCATCCAATAACGGCGGCGGGGGGGGAGCATAAAATAACCTTTTTAGCGTTAGCTCGGAAAAATCCTGAAGCGGACAAGACGAGTGGCTTGCTCTCGGAGCCCCTCACCGCGTTCGCCAGTGGGGTTGGTCTCGTCACGAGCCAAGATGTGGTAACGGTGGCATTAAACTAACACAAATCTGTGAATAGCATCGTATGCTAGGAGGTACTGTCCCACTGTTCACAAACGACCAGCTTTCAGAAGCATGAAACGAGTAATAAAATTGTATGTTGCCCGAGCGTGCGTTCCTTATCCTCCACGTGTGTTCGTGATCGCTGGGAAAACGTGACGGCGAGCATGCACGGTTGTTCACGCAACTCAAAGAACATTTGTCAAGGAGATGTTTGCGTGTGAGAATCTTTCATCGTGTGTTTATTTCAAATAAACATTTTACAAATGACACACTTGATGACAAATCGAGGACAAACAACAGTAAATGCTAGGTGCACAGACACAAATATCCTATAAAATGTAATAGAACTCTATTAACAGAACCAAGGTAGAATTTCCATCGGAAATAGTTATATTCACATACAAACGTACCAGATGTATTGCAGCATTTCAAACATGAAAAAATACGCGTTTAAAAAAAAAGTTATACTCGTAAAATCACATTTAAACATACATACGGTATATAAAAATTTCTCTACACAAAGAATAAACATTTGTGATGGATCATCACATGGTGGTGCTCTAGTTTGTGTGAGAAGCCACGTGCAGACAATTGCCACTGCTCCACCGCGATTATCAATTCATATATTACGGAACTCCTTTTATCCGAGACTCCTATTACCCACGGCCCTATTCTTCCTAATATCCGTGACTTCCCATGTGTCTGCAAAATGGCATCCCATTATCCGCCATATTTTCACAGGTCATGCATTGTATAATCCATGATTTTGTATTATTTTTAGTTATTTTTACTTGCTGCGATCAAAGTGCACAGGCAGCCCACTTGCTTTGAACACGCTGCATGAGACAACACACAGACACGAATACACTCACAGATACATGGAGATACACGGATGGAGACAGAGAGAGACACAGAGGCAAAGAAAGACATGGAGATACAAACACACAAAACAATGAGATACGAAGAGACACGGAGACAGAGAGACAAGGAGACACACAGACGAGGAAACACAAGACACAAAGATGCGCACTAAAACAGACCCATAGAGACATTGAGAAACAAAGACACGGATACCGAGAGAGGTGACACAGACACTGAAAGACACAGAGACGTAGACATGAAGACAGAGAAACGGAGGCATAGAGAGACAAAGAGATACACATGAAGACAGAGGAACTGTAACACACATGATGATAGGGACAGGGAAAGGTGCTGTACAAAGACGGAGGCAGTGACATACGCACAGGCACACGAGACATCTTTGAAGACACGTACAGATCAACCCCTCCACAGCCACTGAAGCACGACCGGCGTTATCACGGATAAGAGGAGTCGATGCTGCAATTTGATCCGCGGGTTAGACACGTTCTTACTCTACAGACAAGAGGAGTAAACTGCGAATAATCCGCCAGTCCCACTCTCCAGGCCCCACACATTACCATGGATAACAGGAGTTGTATGTCGGCCTTGAATTAAATCATTCGGATTAATAGCGCGTGCACAATTCGCGTAGTGAGTTGCTCACACAGGACATCTGTGCAAGACATCGTATGTCGAACAACAGTTTTAAATCCACTGCAACTTGACATACAGGTGGAGGGCCCACGTGCGGATCATTTTAAATGTAACGCTTGCACTACATAAATGCATTTATTTGACAAGTTATAAAGTACACTATATAAAATATACATTTCTATTCGGTTTGTGAGTATGATAAGTTTTTTTGTAAAGACGTAATATATACACAAATATATTTTTCATCCAATAAAATCCCCAAATGACTGTTAATTGAATTGCACGATATGTACAGCAAACGCTCCCCCCCCTCTCTCACAGGTTGAGCTATCGTGGTTTTGCGCCAAATTCATTGAAGGTGGCAGTTCGCCGATCGCCTCCCCCCCCCCCCCCCCCCGTGGCTCGGCCATTCGCGGTTGACCGCGAGATTCCTGCAACGCATCGTCACTGCGATGCTCGCGGCGATGCTGCCGCGTCTGAACAAACGCGGCGCCCCTCTTGTCCCAGGCCATGCGGTGTTCCCAGCCTCCAGTGAGGAGGCCCCGCGAGGTTCAGCCATACTATTTGTCTTCCTGTAGTGTGCACAATACTGGTCACGGATATGTGCGCAGCGTTGTATACACTACATCAATTGTTCTCATTATATACATTTACCGTAAAAAGTTATATCGAACTGGAGAAAAATTCAATTCGATTTTACGTTCAAACTACTTCCTATTGAGTGTTTGGGTTGATGTAGGGCAAGGGGTCGGCTCCGGAGCCGCATGCGGCTCTTTGAGGACTGCTTCGTGATGTTATTTATTAAGGGCCACCGTCTCGTATTCACCACGTGCGTTGCGACTCTTCGAAAAAAAATACTCTTGTTATTTTGGTTGCCGGCTCCTGATGTTGGTTAACATAAAACAAGAGGAGTCGTACTATGAACGCTGAACCAAATCCTCGTTTTCAGATTTGCCTTTGAGTTTGCAGATAGCGGATTTGCCGAATGCAGCTATTTTCAACAACCCCCCCGCCCGCGACGGGCAAGGGTTTGCTGTACTCGAATACAAACAAAATGGACAGATGAAAACCCCGGGCGAAGTGACCGCGAGGACAGCGTGGCCGAGCGAACAGAAACGCGAGCTGGGAGCGCAACGCAAACGTGAGCAACCCCATGCTCCCGACTCTTCCACTCAAAATGCGCCCCACCGACCGTGACAACATCCGTGGGACAAAGGTTCCCAAGCACGCGCACGCACACGCACGCGCTTGCGCGCGCGCGCGCGCTCACACTGACGCATCCTCCGCCGTCAGTGGCACCCGCACTCCTCCACCACCATGTCGCGGTGGTGCATGACCCGCACAGTGTTCTCCTCGTGGTAGAGAATGCTCAGCGAGCTCAGGCGTGTGGGAATGCAGCACGGCGGTGGCACCTTGTCGGGCTTGAAGAACCTCAGCAAGCTCTACAACACAAGAGCAACGTTGCGGACGCTTAGGGAGGGGGAGACTCGCAGTAACGGTCCGTCGCCGTGGCGGCCACCCCAAAGGTGGCACAGCTGTCGGCCGGACGCGACGTATTCCAGCGAGCAATTTGTGATGATTATTATCGTTGAATCTGACTATTAAAGCACATTGAGTAACTAACGCCGAGCAGGTGGCTCCATGCAATAATAAAAAAAACTCAACATATTCGTCAATAACACTGCCTTAAACGTAAATATATATAATAGGTGACGTACAGGGAAATGGCCCTTCTTCATAGCACATACATTCATAGCGCAACTGCCAACACAGCATCACCAAAAAATTAGTTACATTTCCATGCAAGAATGGGACTTTAGTCTTCGAAGATGAATATCTACAAAAAGCAACAAAGTGTGCCTACTTCATGTGCTAATGACAAGTGAAATATTTTATCTGGGCTCGTGAATTAGTCAACTGTACACGAGATCCATTGCACACATGTAAATCGTTCCGCTCACAAGTACTGCGTTGCATTATTTCTGTTTGCCAAGCCGACGTTTACCAGTGGCGCAGTGAGAAAAGCATTGCAACATCAGCCAAACGACTTGGGTTCAGCAATGGTGTTATGTGCAACCAGAAGTTAGTGCTGTCAGTGACGAGGGAACTAAATCCAGGTTGCCAGGTTTGTAGTGAAGTGAAACTATGGTTCTCCCCAAGGCCAAAACATTCTAAAATAGGAACCTGGTGTGGTATGTAAGCCTCTGCACCGGGAAAGACAGAGGCATCCAGGCGCTGTGTTAGTCGCACTAAATAGATGCTTGTTAAAAGCACTTTCCCCAACATTTTGCACCGCTGTATTTGGGGATTTATGTACTGAAAATGTCTATAAGGTGTGTTTCTAATTATCAACAACAAATGGGCAAATTTTGTACACATGTTGGATGTGTCTTTGCAGTCCACCGTGAATTCTCATGATAAATAACAACTCTCCATGTAGGAGGTTGTATAGAGGGAGTACGGAATGACTACATACTCTTGCCTTGCTCTTCTAACCCAGGGGGAGAAGCTTAAAGTCGACAACTATACATATAATATAAATACAGCTGGTATAGATATTCAAAATACATAACAACAACCGTCATTCATCACAGAGTGGAGGTGACGTCACCACCCTGCTTGTGCACCTTGGGGTCACGTGCAGTGTTCATAATCGGAAGGCTCACCGGCAGGAGATTACGGGACAGACCCAGATGCCATGGGTTCACAGGACTGAGATAACTGACACCTGTGCTGGAGAGTGCTTAATGCGCTGTTGTGTAAAGTCCACGGGAGTACGTGTTCGTACGGCTCGTGTGGACCTGCCAAGCGCTGGTGGCTGCATGCAATCTCGCGGTGAGTTTGGCTGGAGCCCGAAGAAGACCCTACTCTGCACGTGCTTCGGGCTCTGTGCACCCAGAAGGCCGACACATGGACTCCTTGGAATGCAACCAACGGCACGGCGCTGGCACCACTTGTGTGTGCAAGCAGGCTAACTCCAGCCTCCTCCGCTCGACGATCCCACCTCCAGGGGGCAGCCTTGATTCAAAGGTCTTGCTTGGTTCAAAGGCATTTGATCAAAGTTTTTGATCAAATGCATTAATCAAAGGTCTCGATCAAAGTATTCCAATCATACACAACAGCAACAACAACACCAACATCAGCAGCAACAGCAGCAGCAATAGCAATAGCAGAAGAAGAAACAACAGCAGCAACTGCAACAACAGCAGCAACTGCAACAGCAACAACACCTTGTGCTGGCAACACTGTGACTTGTGCTTTCCGCTGCTGCTGCCCGGCTGCATGCGACCGGGCCCGGTCTCACGTGACTTCGGCTGAGCGAGCCGAGTCGTCTGGTCAAGCAAAGCTTCCCCTCTTCCCTGGACAATGTGGGGCCATACCAGGATCTTCTCTTGGCTTGGATCGACTAAACCAATTATATTTTACCCAAACGTCGCCGATACCACAGTGAGAACTCCCCAGTAGACTCGTCCGAGTATCCAACGTGCAGAAGGGAGTGCTCACTCGCCGACTTTCCGGTTCAAACTGCTCGAATTCCACACCACGCTGTGCTACGATCTGCTGTGGAAATTCTGACCCCCTACCCGACCTCGTTCATCGCTTGTTGCAGTGCCTTGCGCATGGTTGTGTTACAGATCTGGTCAGTTCTTCTTCCGCCCCGCATCCCACATGATCGTGGAAGAGTGCCTTCATCACCACACTGCTGCTGATGTCAGGTATCGGAGCCAAATCCCAGACGAGGGTTCTTCAACTTTGGATTTGTCAGCGCACGCTCCATAGTCACGAGACGGCGCTGATCCACGATTTGATCGATGATTGTGGACTTGACATATTGGCCTTTTCCGAAACCTGGGTATATGACGACTAGTCGGATGTAATTAAGCGTAAGGCTGCACCTAACAGCAGAGGTGGGACAAAGTCATTGTTATGCAAGTCCAAGTCGAGTCTGAAGTCATCAAATTCATGACTCGAGTCTGACTCGAGTCCAAGTCACATGACTCGAGTCCACACCTCAGAGGTGGGACAAAGTCATTGTTATGCAAGTCCAAGTCGAGTCTGAAGTCATCAAATTCATGACTCGAGTCTGACTCGAGTCCAAGTCACATGACTCGAGTCCACACCTCTGCCTAACAGACATCAGCACTGTCGCAGAAAGCCTGGCACAGGCAGCCCGCACGACGGTGGGGTCGCATTGATTCACCACAAAGTCATTAGTGACTCATTAACAATCACATTTTTCAAGCTGCTGCTTCAGAAAATAACGAACAGCATGCGGGGGCTTGTGATTGCTGTCATCTATCGACGGCTGTCTTCACCACTGTCGGAATTATCTTCCGAGTTTTCTGGTCTTCTAAACTGTGGGTCACTTGGCTCTAGCTACATCATCTGTGGTAACCTGAACTGTCTCGAAACCGACCAGTTCTTGTGGTAAAATCAACAGCAATCTCGCCGAAATTATCGACAGTCACAGTTTAACCTGGCACGTCAGCGGTGCAACATGTCGCTCGGGAAATATACCGGATCACATTTTCACATCTGCCGGTGCCGTAACTGTGACCAACGTTTTTGAATACGTGGGTATTTCAAATCACAGTCTCGTGATGTGCAAAGTGGCATGACCGATTATTCACCTACTCGTCACAATGACATCATACAGTACCGAGGCTGGAAACGACTGAACTACGATGCTTTCCGTCAGAAGATCTGGTCATTATCGGTGCGTCTAAATCCTGCATCGACGGTTGATTAATTTGCAGCTCAATTTGAAAATTACATCACTGCTGTTCTTGATGAACCAGGTTTCTGCACTGTACTTGTGAGATTCTTCGCCAATAAAATTGTGACTATCAAGACGGCAGTTTCTAACTTGAAGGCAACACATGCTCCCGGTTTGTCATCTGAGTTTGATCAACCTGGAACTTATGTTCCAGGTTTATCACCAACGTCGGTGGCAGATGTGACGATGATTGCACGTCGCTCGCACTGTTGATTGTCCACCTGGCGAATGTTTTGTTCAGCGAGGGGCTGTTTCCCAGACCAGTTCAAAATGGCACAGGTAACACCGCTCCTGAAAAAAGTTGGCTTAATCAATAGTGACCTCGCAAACTATCGCCCAATCTCAAATCTGAGTACGATTTAAAAGGTTATAGAGCGCCTTTGTCTGAAGCAGTTACTTCCACATGTCACTGCGATGGGCAGATTCAACCCATTGCGGTCGGCATACCGGAAATTTACGAAAGAGGAAGGATGTCTAAGTACCAGAAGCAGCGGAACTCACCTGTGGCGTCTTCTGACGACGATGAAGATGAGACTCAGGACCTCCTAACAGCCCCGGGAACCACGATCCCGGTTATTGAAGCCGCAGTGGGAGAGTTGGCTGCGCCAGAGATGGTGGGACCAGGAGCAACCTCTCTGAAGCAGCAGCCCAAAAAGGGCTGGCACATGGTGGCAGAGAAACTTGAGCTGCTGCGGGCAATGGTCTCGCAGTTGGCGGCGCTCATTACGGCAACTACGATGGCGGGGCGGACTGCACAGACCTCGCCGGAGAGGAGCGACCAGGCGCCGGGGTTCGGTGTTCTGGCAGGAATGTCCGCTGGCGCGACGGCCGCCATTACATGTGGTGCGCAGAACACGAGGCCAGAGGCCGCCATTACGCGTGGCGCAGGAAAGGTGCGGCCGATAGCCGCCATTTTACGAGCCGGGCATGATTCGCCGAAAGCGATGCCCGCCGCTGGAAACGGGGAAAGAAGAACCGAAAGAACTCGCCGATACCTCCTCTTAGAGAATTTGTCGCAACAGGGGGCGATTGGAGTGCCTTCACCTGGCGGTTTGAAGCAGCCTTCCGGTCGGTGAATTGGACTGAGGAGGAGGCGCTGAAAGCTATGCTGACGGCTTTGGACGATTACACTCTTGCTGTCTTCAGGGCCATACCGGCTGCAAAGAAGACTACACTTCAGGGTGCTTATGCTGAAATGGCGGAGGTGTACGAGCCGCCTTCTGACTCACGCAAGAAGTTTCTGCAGCGTAGGCGAGCAGAGGCCAAGACACCTCCCACCTACCACAGCGCGTTGTTAGCGCTGGGAGAAGCGGCGTACCCCGCGATGGACCCGAAAGCCCTCGACTCACTTGTCATATAAATAATGTTGGGGCTCGCATGAGAAATGAGAGTTGTCTTGCCAGTGATTGACGAAGACGAACAGACATCCCGATGGGCCGCCAGATGCTTGTCTCAAATGGCGGCGCGGACGGGAGACCCCAACCAGGATGGTGTGCCGGATGGGTGGTCACTACGGAACGCTGTGATGCAGCCGGCCGTGGACCTGCCGTCGGATGAGGATGTCGCAGCTGCGGTCCCGGTGTGGAGTCGGAGTCGTGGAGATGCCACGCGGCATCAGAGGAGCTGGAGACCGCGTGAGGAAGAGGATCGGATGCTGCGGAGGCC